GATTTAATTAAATTTCGATAATAATTCTCCGGTATCGCATCCCATTCCTCTTTAACCCACCTTTCCAATTGCACAATGCTTGAGGGCTGTGTATCATGTTGACGAATCTTAACCTCAATAAACGACCAAATATTCTCAATGGGGTTAAGGTCGGGACTTTGGGCCGGCCAGGGAAGCAGCTCTATGTTTGAGGAGGTGAGAAAGGAACGTGCTTTTTTCGCGGTGTGAACAGGCGCGTTATCCTCTTGAAAGAGAATTTTTTTTTAATTTTTCTGGCATGTGTCTTAACCGTAGGAATAGCATAATTTCTAAGAATTTCACAATGTGTAACAGCAGTGACACGACCAACCAACGGAACTAGCGGACCCAAACCAATCCAAGAAAAACATCCCCAAAACATGCGACCTGCACTACGCCTAACCGTAGCCGCAATGCAATCTTCGTGAAATTCCTCTGAAGGTTCCCGGAAAACATGCCCAAAACCTGAAGTTCGAAATTGTGTATAGGTAGACTCATCCGACCAAACAATGTTTTTAAAGTCTTCTACTGTCCAGTGTTCGTGAGCAATTGCCCAAGACAAACGTTTGGTTTTATTGATTTCGGAAATTAGTGGCTTATGACGTTGAATGCGAGAGTGAATGTTTTCCTTAGCTAATTCTTTACGAATAGTTCGTGTAGAAATATTTATATTATTGTTTATAAAGTTTAAACGTATTTGAGAAAGGGTTTGTCGGCGGGTATTTTTGTTTTTGGTTATTGAAAACTTGAGTTTTTTGCGTTCGGATTCATTAAGGATTCGTGGACGACCTGTCCGTTGCTTAGGAGATTCTTGGGACTCATGTGTTGCCAATACTCGTAATACTGAAGAACGAGAACAACCTATGACTCTAGAAATCTCACTAGGCGTATGTCCAAGTTTCTTTGCTGTAATAATACCTCCTTTTTGACCCTCCGTTAATTCTTTTCCACGGCACATCGATATGCGGTAAATTTCACAAGACGATTTATGTAACGGTAGATCGTGTGTGACCTTGTGACTCGCAGACTTATTGAAAAACTTACATATAGTGGTGATCTA